CCATATGACCCAGCTATCCTACTGCTGGGAATATATCCAAAGGAATGGAAATCATCAAGTCGAAGGTATACCTGTTCCCCAATGTTCATTGCAGCACTCTTTACAATAGCCAAGAGTTGGAATCAGCCCAAATGTCCATCATCGGATGAGTGGATATGGAAAATGTGGTATATCTACACAATGGAATACTACTCAGCTATAAAAACGAATGAAATACTGCCATTTGCAACAACATGGATGGACCTTGAGAGAATAATATTGAGTGAAACGAGTCAGGCAGAGAAAAAGAAATACCACATGTTCTCACTCATTGGTGGGAGCTAAAAGTAAACAAATTAATTCACCCACATACACACAAAAAAAAACCCGGGGGGGGGGAAGTTATAACAACTATACTTTTTTGAAGTTGTTACAACAAGCAAACGGAAAGGACATTCTTGGGGGGGAGGGGAGAGAGGGAGGAGGAAGGGAGGTGTCGGTGATGGGCCATAATAATCACATAAACATTGTATATTGACAAAATAAAAATTTAACGAAAAAAATAAAAAATAAAATAAATAAAAAAAAAACCACTCAAAAATCAAATGTTGGTGGAAAAAAAAAAAAGAAGAGGTTTTACACAATTGACGTGGTTTCCTTAGGGCTCTTGGGTTTCTCAGATTGGCTTTTAAAAGAAAGAAGAAAAAAAAACCCTGAATGTTTAGGTTTGCCCTCTTTTTTTCTTCCTTAAGTTATTCCAGGCTTTGAATAACCAAGAAAGACTGGCTGTGTAGTTTTCATGGACAATGCTGCGCACGTTATCTCCCATCTGTTTGTATTTTATTTTGCATTCATTTAAATTTGTATTTCAATTCTTTATGGCTCTCCTTAACCCTCCTTTATCTTTGCAATATTTCCTCTGGTTAGACTGTAAGAAATCTGGACTGCAGATCTGGTATGATTGGTTGCTGCTGGGAGAAGGGCAAATAGACAGGTCTGGAGGCCCATCTGTCCACTACCTATACCCTGCTACTAGCTTCTGATTTGCTTCTTTGCTTTGTGAGTACGGCTATGTGACACCTAAACATCCATAGGATGATCAAACAATGCCATTCCTGTTGCTGCTGTGTGTGAGTCGCCATACTAAACACGTCACCATATGGAAACATGTGGAAGTACTGTGGCACTAAACATCTGGATAGAAGTTTAAATTTTTTGTTTTTATCCAGACAAATATTGTATGCAGTGCCTTTCTTGTATCCTCAAGCTGAAGTAATGAGGAAAGACTTAAGAATGTGGCCATGCTTTTTCTCACATTCCCAGCACAGGCCAAGGCTTTAGCCATTCTTACTGTTTCTAGACACCAGCCACTGTTATTCAATATGTAAAATTTCAAAAGACACTAACAGATCTCATTTTTTTTTAATCCCTCCCAAACATGCCCAGATGTTCTCCTTGGGGTATTGTAAACAAAGGACAGCAGTCAAGGGATAGTTCCATTCCAGGACACAGGCCTGCCTTACTGTACCTTTATGAAATCACAGCAACTTTTTATCTTTTTCTTTCTTTTTTTTTTTTTTCAGTCATAAAACACCAGCATTATTCCATGCCCCAGTGGCCTTTTAATAAATATTTTTAATAATAACAAATATCAAGTTAAGTTGAATAGTCAATCTAAAGATAAAAAAACCCTTACATTGGATCATTATTATACCTCCAGCTATATAAAAATGAGTACAAATGTTGTGTGTGGATAAGAGATCACCATGAATTCTTTTGTGATGTACAACTTTTCTTTTAAGTAAGCATGGAAAATCTCTATTTTCCAAGATCTTGTCCAGCATGATTATAATTAATCACAAAATTTTAATATTGGGAGGGGGGGCATTGTAATTCTCCCCCTGGAATGTTTGAAAAACTAAGTCATAATGACATTAAACAATTTTCCCAAGGAGAGGGGCCAGCGCAGTCAGATTATCCTCACTTTTCTGAAATGAGGCTGGTGCTACCCAGCACGCTTGGTGACATTATCAAGACTCCCTTGTGTTAGAGCACCAACTTGCTACAGATTGTTTGGTGTCTCTGTGCCCGTCAGCAAGTGCCAACTGCATTGTGCAATCCCTACTCCAGTTCATGCCACTCAGATTAAAGTGAGAAACAGGATCTCACACAAATGTGACTGGCATAATAAGATTTAAATATGCAATCACATTTATGTATGCCTTTAAACCCACTTTCGGCTTTCAAATTTTAAAAATTTCTGTTTAAAATGATTCACTACAATTTTTTCTTTAAATCTCTGAATTCTGGGCAGGTTTAGGAGATGAATCTTATTACTAGAATGCTCTAACAATTTTTTGTAACTGATTAAAATCTGGTTCTAAAGTTCAGCACTGATAAAAATTAGGAGTATTTTGTATTGCAAGACAAAGACCAGCAATTACTATGCATGTATTTTTTTTTCTCCTTAACTTAGCTACAAACAAGTAAGCTATGGAATTGTCTTGCCTTTATTCTGCTCTGCTTTTCCACATTCCTATCACGATTCCATGTGCTTATTTCCTGCTGCATCCATCCTCTTTCCTCTAATGCACTGTTTCACAGAAAATGCTTTTCATGTTGCTAGTTCCTTATATAATTTTTCCTTTTCTACTTCCTGCATTTTTACAGTTTTTCATCTATTATGTCTACCTAGTGTTATATCTATTTAATCTATTATATCTAGTGTTAGGCTTGTTTATAGCAATAAAACATCTGCAAAGATGTGCTATCCATGCAGCCCCCTCTTAGGAACATCTAGATGCAATGAAAGAGATGATCCATATGGTTGGCTTTCCTCATTCTTTCATTCATTGCATAGATATTTGAATGTCCGTCATGTGACAGGCACTAGCTAAATGTAGGTCAGTAACTTATAAATGAAAAAAAAAAAACCTTCTGCTAGGAAATAATGCAAGGTGGGAGAGGAGACGTCCTCCATCTCAGGAAAGGGTGGAATGGGAAAGGGCTCCTCAGGCTGACTTGGATGGCCATGGTGGCTGCAGGCTTTCCTCCTGTCTCTTCTCAGCCCTCTTTTGGCAGACTCTGGTTTCATTCCTTACACCCGATTTTCATATCATCACTTTCTCCCTAGAATTTCTCTTTTAGAATCCACAGAGGAATGAAATTAGCAGTCAGAGCTGGCACATCCAACCTTATCTTGAAAGCAAGAAACCCTCCCTTGTGATCTTGACATTGTCTCTAGGAGAGCAATCAAACATATCAGCTGGAAATCTCCTTTCAGTGTGACTGAACAGGCCATTTTAAATAGCATGTTTTTTGCACTGTCTTGCTGAGGCATTGCGGTTCTGCTATTTAGCAAGAAACTAACACCAGGCCTGTGTGCACTAGTCTCTTCTTCCCTTAAGTGAGGTATTTTCTTCATTTAGAATCAGCCAGAGAACCAGAGACTTAGACTGGGTTTCCTCTCTTTTCCTCTACTCTTCCTAATTTTTCCCCCCATTTTTAAATTGTGATAAACCATATATAACATAAGGATTGCCATTTTAAGCATTTTAAAACTTACAATTGCATGGAATTAATTACATGCACGATGCTGTGCAACTGCTACCTCTATTTCTAAAATTTTTCGTTATCTGAAATATAAACTCTGTACTCATTAAGCAATAACTTATTATTCCTTCCATCCTGCCCCCGATTTCTGGTAACTTCTAATCTACTTCTGTCTCTGAACAATTTTTCCTTTTTAGCTTATTTTTTCCTAATTGACCCATGATAATTATATATATTTATGGAGCACAATATGATATTTGGGTACATTTATAGTGTGCAATTTAGCATATCCATCACCTCAAACATTTGCCACCTGTGTTGAGAACAATCAACATCCTCTCAACTAACTACTTGAAGTTGCACAGTACTCTGTTGTTGACTGTCGTCTCCCTACAGTGCTGCAGAACACTGGATCTTATCTTCCTATCTCTCTACAGTTTTATATCCATTGACCACCCTCTCCCCTCTTTC